TGATCCACCGACACCGCTCAAGGGACAGACTGGACATAGTGACAAGCCCAATTTGAGGGGAATTTATATTCTCCTAATCAGGTTCATTAGTGGAGAAAAACTCAGTCAAACTCCATTCATTTAGAGATTCTACAATGGATTTCTGATGAGTGAACGATCTCCAATGACTTTGTCCTCACTAACGAGCATTTTGATGCACTAACTGCTGCAGCATTTTACTCTGTGACAACCAACAAAAGACTCACACATCTTGACATTTTCTCCTGCAGCGCCATCAAGAAAGCAATTCAACAAAAGCACACAGCCAAGTAGGAATATGGGTGTCATGGTGAGCTGGGTGCAGCAGAGTCAAACTAAGAAGTGCTGCAGTGCAGAAACATTGTGATACTATACTTACTTGATACCACTATGGTGGACAGTATATTACTGATCGTTACATTCTTTCCTCTAATTCACTGTCAATGCATTCTGCGTTGTTCAAAATACACAAGCATGTGTGCAAGTATGTACTCACCAACATACCCATACTTAACAACACCTACAACACCTGCCCCAACTCAGGATCCTGGTTGCACTTTTCCTCACAACTCTTTGGCCATGTAAAGGGAGAAGCGAGCAGGTAATAGCAACAAATTTAGGGGCTTAAATGGCAACAGCTTTACGATGCCTGAGCGGCCTCTATGACTCCATTCCTGTCAGATTCTATTAGCTTGGCCTCTACCACGTGTTTCGATTGGCTCTTGGCCTATTCCCAGCAGTTACAGAAGCACCTCCCATAAATAAACCAAATGGCTGCATCTTGTAGTGTATGAAAAGGGTGGGGGGAGCAGGGCACTTGTGTATAAAGAACATCTGACAGAGTGGTTGAATAGTTTAATATACAGCACTGGGCTGAATGGACACAGTCGACTAGAGGGAGAGCTCGACACACATCATTGTAAGAGTTTAGATTTGACTAGTGTTTAAGAAGAATGCAAGCAGCCAGGCGAGAAAAGCACTTCTAAATCAAGACAAGTGGTCTCATTCTACTCCACACACACACTCCAATAAACAAAAGAAAAAGTGTGTCTATCTACCAGCTGCCAGGTGGAAGTCTAAGGAAAGGCCACCTGTCTAATAAATGTTTTTGATGTGTACAGCTCAGCAATATGAAACTGAGCATCTGGCCTGTCTCTTCCAAACTGATCTTGTTAGCAGCATGCATATCCGTTCCTCTTATAGAGAATTTATTTGAGTGCTTCACCCAAATAGGTTCTCCCTTTCCAAAAATGAATTCAACCAATGAGGGCTTGTGAAGGGTTAGGGTTAGTCACACTCATCTGCCAGATGTTCAGTGGATTTTTTTCATAAGGAGCACACAGTGTTTCCCTCAGTTCAGACCAAAAACTGAGAATGGTTTTAATTAAATCCAAGTCACTTGTTCTTTATAAACCAAATACCCCAAGAGCAAAACGAAATGGAATAATAAATTCTAGCAACAATTATTATATGCAATGCTTGACATGCTGCGACTGAATTAGTTTTTTTTTTATGGCTTTGAGAAAACATTTCCATGGGCAGATAAAAAAATACTGGACTGTTGCTCAGTCTGCTGAAAGAAGTCAGGCTGGCAGGGCTGCTCACACAATGACATGACAATCAGCTATGTGTTCCTTTGAATTTTGAACAGGAAAAACTATTTACCAAAACACAGGGAAAAAAATTCACTATTTGTGAAGAAGACCCACTAGCACATACTGTTATGTTATTTAAGAACTATAATATAATAATGATGTGCTGTAAATGGTAAATATTAGTTTCATATATTTGACTATCACAAATCTTAATAAAATATCTATTTTTTTTGTTTGTCTGTAGTTATGTATGTGCCTTTTTCACAGCAGGCATTTTGATTTGTGAGTCTTAATGAAGCCTTACTTAGACTTACTGAGAGCACAGGTGTAATTAATTCCTTTAACAATGGCTCTGCTTTATTTAAGTCCATCAGTGAGCCGGCATACATAGTGGCAGGGTCCTGAAACTGGTAAAGCCAAATGGAGTGCATTACTTGTTAATATTAATTATTACACCTGTGGGTTGAACAGTTCCAACAAGTTACTGAGTGATGACACAATAAGTTGTAACACAAAACAGTTTGTTTGATGAACTAAAATCTTAAAACAGTTTATTATTCTTTATAGTTTATTCTTTTTTTTTTTCACAGCAATATGAGTCATATGCATCAAGACTCCCTCTTTTACCACTAGCTAAAGAATGTGAACAGTAAAATGCAAAGCTAGCCAATGAGTTATATTTGAGATTCACATATTTTTGCCTGTGGACTCTTATGAATCAAACAAGACTTCCATTCAGAGCATTTCTAAACTCCCACACGGCTCCCTGCACATGCATATAATTCAGCTGAGCAGAAAACGCTGTGGGACAAACCAACTGAATTTTAAACATGCACTTCAAAATAGAGAAGACTTATACTGCCAAAAACTAATTTATAAGCAAACATTCAATTGTTCCACCAACTATCCTACTTCTTTATTGCAAATCAACAAATAAGTATTTAAATTGGGTTAAATGACTTGTTTTATGAAACGTTGTTATTTTTTGTGACTTATTCCACCAATTCACAGTTGACTTATTTGTGACTTAATCATTTAATGTTTCTACTATAAGGCTTTTTTGTCTTGTTATATGCCTCTAAGGCTAGGCTCACACTGCAGGCCTTAATGCTCAATTACAATTTATTAAGAATATTAAGACGTCACGCGCAGCACACTATCGTACAGAACTAAACATAGAGGCCACAGAGATTAGCATCTGTGGTTATATTTTTAAGATCAATTCAGGTGAAAGAAGGGGAATTTGTGAGCAAATGACAACGAGGACAAGGAGAAAGAGAGACAATTTTTTTTTATGGCTTTTTGTGGAGCAGGGCTGCTACTTTTGTACGGAAGCACTTTGTGACAAGAGTCGCTCTACAGCAACATCACAGGCACATGATTTCCAATCTGACTGTCCAGACTGAGGATGCATTTCAAATAATGCCACCTGTATCTGATTTGGACCTTATATGAAAGTGGCCCAAAACCCGAACTGGAAAACATCAGATTCAATGTGACTTGGGCTGTTCACTCTGTTAAAAATCAGATCTGAGTCACATATGAGAAAAAAAAATAATCAGATTTGGTCACTTTGCCCTGCAGTCTGAACACAGCCTTAGTGCTGTGAATTGATTTGTTTTCTGTTTTGATTATTTGTTTTTAATGCTGTTTATTTGTAGGGCATGCACCAATCTGTGCAGAGTCTGATCCAGTTTCTTTATCAGTGAAATTATAAAATTCACTATTATCCATTCATTCATTCATTTTGAACGGGCTGTTTCCTCTGTTTGTCAGCAATCCCTGGTATTATGTTACCTTAGATGAAAAATGATAACAGTCGATGAAGTATACAGATTTAAAATTTGGGGGGAAAGACAGCATTACTGGATCTGTACTCTGTATCAGTAAGAGAAGGTTAGTGCATACCCATTAATTAGTTTTGTTACCTCATCATAGCCCTCGTTGCGAGTAGGGCTGCACTATTAATCTAATCGCAACTGCGATGTCGTCATGTGCAATTACATAACCGCAAAAAGTGGTGTGAAAAGGTGTTTGTGACTCTCTTCTGTGTGTGTGCGCTGCAGTCTGCTAATTATATCCGCCCACACCGGACTCTCGCATGTGCCCCTAAAAACAGATAAGCATATACGTACAATGTGAGAAATAATTTTTGAGCAGTCTGCCAGTAACTTGTAAGACAACAACCTACCACAACCCCCCTCCCCGCCCCGCCACTAATCGTTTAAAACATAGTCGGACTCGCCACCAGAGAAATGCCGGTGCTCCAGTCACTCTGTGACAGAGACAGAGAGACGTCGTCGGCAGCTGAAGCAGTAAGACAGAAGAAAACAGGGAGAATATAAGGAAGGTTTGGGTTTGGCTCGCTGGCCATTTAACATTAGCTGTATCAGTGCCTTTAGTTGTTCAACATGAGCAGTATTTAACATATTATTGTTATTCTAGCAGTATACTATTAACTAAACATTATACTCTTTATTTAATACACTCATGTAATGTACAGTTCCTCCTCCAGGTTGTGCATAGAGACTGCATTAGACAGATGTACACTGAGCCGGTGCCAGGATGCCAGTGTGCCAATACTTGCTGGTTCTAGCCGCCTCCTCCGTAGAGCAACGCACTCCTCTTGTTCTATTTTACATCTGTTTTACTAGTTATTGTTATAAATATTGTTTAACTTCGTTCAAGTTGAGAAATATACATTTCAAAATGTCAGTATTTTGTGCATTTTCCTTGATAATTAGGCTAAGCAAGTAGACTCACATTACCATTTGTTCCATTATAATCGAATCACAATATTGCCCACAATAATCGCAACATGACTTTTTCACCAAATCGTGCAGCCCTAGTTGTATTTTTTATGTTCAGCACACTCAAATTGATTAAATGAAGTTTTAAAAGTTGCAATTGGGAGTTCATTCTATGGATCTTGATGAACCAAACATGTCACTTATAAAACTGAGTAACAATTATTTCTCTGCTTAAACAAAAACACATCACTCACTTTTCTCTGTGGCTTGCAACCTGCAGCAGTCCTGCATTGCGCGTGGAGGTGATCATTATTTGGCAGAATATATTAGGCAATAGTAGGCGTTTTCACACAAATAGTTTTTGTCATGACAAAAACATCCAAGGCAACACACCTCGGCATGACAAGGTAAAAGACAAAAGGCAGCCGAAAAGTCACCCCCACCAGCTCGACATCACAAATAACAAACCTGAGCAGTCCTTAACTGCTCACATTAGCCAGTTAGCGGCTAATATTTAAGCAATGTAAAAGTGCTGCCAGCCTTAAATCACGCCCAAACTTCAAACGTACGGGGAAAATATTATAAGATATAAGCGATATGTGAAAGAAAGCACCCGTTATCTAGCTTAGAAACTCACCTTTGTTTCGCTGTTCCACGAAAGGGATGAAGATTTTCACGAGCTGTCACTGCACTTCCGGGTTAGACTGTGACGTGTACAGACGCCCAGCTGCTGGCCATGCTGGGATTGTTTTGGTTTTGCACGCTGGATGTTATAAATGCATTTCTAAGTTAAGTTTAATTTCGTGATTACTGACATTAAAGTTAGTTAAGATATAATAAGATAAAACTTTATCAATCCTCAGCAGAGATATTTAGCATTACTGGGAGAAATATAACAGAGAGGCTGTGGTGGAAGATGTATTCAGATCTTTTGTCTAAGTAAATGCAGGTATGTCTTATTAGAAAATTGGTCTTTAAGTAACTAATGTTTAACTGCTAACACTAATCTTATCATGCAGCAGAACTGGCCCTGTCACAGTTATCAGATTGTATGGATATATTTGTGTTATCTATGCACAAGATGCATGTTAGTGTTGGAGTAAGTATAACTACCTTATATATTGTTGGGCAATTTAGCATGGAGCAATGTATTATATTTTATAAGATCCTCAAATTTAGTAATCTGTAAAGTAACTAGAAATAGCTGTCAGCAAAACGTATTATTTAAATTTTTTCCCCTGAAATGTATTAGTAGTAGCAGAAAAGGAAAAGACTCAAGTAAAGTACAAGTATCTCAAAACTATACTTAAAGAGATAGTTTGGGATTTTTTAAGTACTGAGGTACATATCCATAGTCAGTGTATTACCTGCAGTAGATGGCGATCAGCGTGTCCCAAGTCTGGAGAAGCAGAGAGTTTTACCAGCAGGGAAGCTAAGCAATACCACCTAAAAGGCCCACAGAAAAAAGTTCAAGGGTATGCTATAGAACATTGTCAGTGCTTTACCTTGCCACCAGACAGCCGTTTCCTTTGGGACTACGATTTCTCAAACATAGAACTTCCATATTCCTACGCATAAGTGCAACTTGGCTGCACACTGTATTACACAGCTGTTTTTTAACATATCTTTATTATTAATTATGCATTCATTATGCCTTATTCATATATACACAGATTTTACCCACATCCCCTTCAAAATTGTACACAGCACAGCACTGTCTTAGTTCACAACTATGGTGAGATATACATACAACAAAGCCTCCCCTCAGCATTCAGCAATCATTCGGACCTGCGGTTTGTGTGTATCTGTATGTTTTTAATGTGAGACATGAACATGTCTGGACTATGAAAACAAATTACTCTCCTCTGACAATAAAGACAATCTATCTACGGTATATGTTTCACTCTTAAAGAACAGACAATTCCATGTCCAAACTATGTGCACTTTAACATGTGTAAAATATCATATTTATTATTAAATGGAGAACAAAATACAACCAGGCATCAATGATTGTCCTTTTGGAGGTATGGGTTCTTGGTAATTTATAGTAGCCTACATCTTGAAGCACACACACATAGATTGCATTTGTTTTTCACCAGTAACTGCTTCACTTTATTCCCAGCATTATGGTCAATATCAGCATCAATTTCTGATTTGGCAAACCCTATTAAATGCAGGCACTTTGCCATACATGTAGTTTTTGTGAATTATTGCTCTTCGGAAAGTAGGTAATCACATCAGGAAACACATATATGCAAGCAAGACTTGGCTATATAGGAGATAATAATATATATATAATGTCCAGACTGAGGTTGATAAAATAAACATTTATATAATGCAAAATATAAATTATTGTGCAGCATCTTTGCAAAATTTGCAGCTTTACTGGTTTGATGATAACATGAAAAGATGTGCTGTAATATGATTATGATCTTGATGCCAGCATTTAAATTGGCTATGAACAGAATAGTGTGCAGGCTTGTTTATATTGCAGATGTAAGTATGTTGCAGATATTAAGTCACCACATGTGGGTAGCTGCCCATGTAGGGTATCTTGGCAATGTTGCAATGTTATAAGAATATCATAATATGATTTTCTCTTTTGAAGATTTAAATCACATTCATCCAACTTCAACAAAAGCACTTGGGATGCACAGCGAATTTGCTGTGATGCTCATCCAAAAGGTTGTCTGGTGGGGTATTTAATTGAAGGCAAAGCAAATTAAAAAGGTAAACAAAAAATGAAGAGGAATCTGGAAATTGAATAAAGGGAAGAAGAGAAAAGTTGTTATGACACCTGGATTGTTTTCTACTCAGGAATGTTTGATCTCTCAAGGAACACAATGCTGCAGAGATCTTTTCAAGGGTGGAATTTGGTCCGTTGTTGCATGTTCTCACACTTTTGAATTATATACATCTGTGTCGACATTCTGTTTTGCTACTCTGGTATTGGGAATAACATTTTTTTTTCATCTTCATAATGTGGAATTTTCCCAGCTGGTGGGATGTTTCAGTACATGAAATTGTATTACTGTGTGACAATCCCAGCTTACTCCACAGGTCTGGCACCATGTTCAGCCATGGCTCAGCTCTGGAGTTCAATGCAATTATAAATAAATAAGCATGTGGTCGGGAAGAAGACAGGGCCCTATGGGGACAAGCTGAGAGAAAATAGAGGAAGTTTAATTAAAGCTGCAAACTGCACTCCCACACACTTAGACACAGAGACATGCAGTAATATAGGCGAACCAATACACACCAATTATATGTGTTTGTGTGTGCACTTCACTTGCCTTTATGTACACTTGCATGCGCGGGTGTACCTATAGCTACAACTATACAAAAGAGAAAATTGTGGTGAGTGTGCCCACATCAATGTGTGCACGTGTCTACAGGCAAACCAATACAGGAGGGAAATGTGAGTGTAGAGTAATACCATGTTGCATTTAGGTAAGGCCCTCTAAATTTCTTCATCACACAGGTTTTTGTGTGTCACCTTCCTGACTACAGAGAGGAAGGTATTTTGTCTCTTCCAGTATGTCACCTATCTGGCTATCACACTCTCTACACAGCCACAGTAAAATGATTTGGTGTATGCAGTTATGTTTTTGTTACATTTTTTTCTGCAAAATGATTGAACTGGCAGTCTCCTTATAATTACCTAAGGGGTGCAGGCAAAGGCACAGCCAGTAAAAGGCTGATGAGGGAGTATTGAATTTGCACTTCAATTAGAGTGCTTATAAAGTGTGGATTACACAAGGACTCCAGGGCCACAGCTCTCACTCAATTACCACAGTGCACTATGGATAGAGGGACAGCAGGCATGATGGGTGGACAGTGAAGGCATCAGGGTAAAGTTGCAAGGTGGCCTGTGTTAGGTCTTTAATCAGAATGGATCCATGCAATGGCATCTCCTTCCACAAGTGGAAGAAGATGCATCCACAGGTGACTCAGGTCTCCCTCTCCAAGTTCTGGCCTTGGATTCAACAAGGACATTCTGACGCTGCACAGTGGAACACTACACTGATTTGAAATGACTGTGAATGTGCATTCATTTCCATTTTCTGTCTTGTTTAAACAGGTTTCATTGGAGTTTAAGAGGGTATACAGAGAAATATGCTCAAAAGGATACCCCAAAAAAAGAAGAAACCTCAACAATGTGTCTGGGTCCCTGAGTTAATTCTCAAACGGATTATTGAGCCAATGAGTGAAAATCACCGGCCATTTAGAGTGGATTTGTCTGCGAGGCAGCGATAAACAGCAGCTTGCTTTTCTACGGCTTAGCCCCTTGATTGTTAGAAGGAGATGCTTGAAGGACATGCTTTTCGAGTAAACAGGCCAATGGCAGTGAAGACAAAAGGAAAGTTTCTATTCGATTGCTTAGCTGTACTTATAAAGACAATGTCAGATGAAAGAATGTGAATAATTAATTGTTATAGAGCCTTATGAAGGGTTCGTGGTGCTTAATTACTGGTTGTGATGTTTGCACGAGGCACAGTGAGATTTTAAAGAATTCAAAGTGAAAATGTGCAGAGGAGAATCACAGAAGAAAAGAAGGGTTTTATTATCTTCTGCCTGACTCTGAAATCACTTTTACAGTATAAGTTACATAAGGAGGCTGCACAAACACAGCTTGACAGTGTTATAACAGACATATGGGGAGGTTACCTGAATTCAATTTGACAGTGTTATAAGATGTGTGATGTGAACGTGAAGCTCCTGCTAATTCAAAAAGTGGATGAACAATTAAAGAACAACCTAATAGCTTACTGCAAAAAGGGATTTTATATCTGCACGTACGTTTAATCTCCCAGACTCCAGCAATTTTCTGTCTGTTTAGATCATCTCCCTCCGTTCTACCTTCCTCTCCCTCACTCTCTCTCTCTCTCTCTCATTGCTACTGTCAACAAAGAATGTGCAGGCTTCCCACAGGCCCTAAAGGAATCTCTCACACTGCACTCACATAATCACTTCAGACCCGGCTGTTTAGGCCGACATCTCCACTGGGACTTACCAGCCGCTCGCTGCAGGCCAAATCAGACCGCTGAGTAAAAAAAACCCAACAACAACAACAACAACAACAAAAACCAACTGCAACAGTGAAACAAAGAAGTGCAAGTCAGACAGAGGAGCGTGACCAGTCTGAGAACATCAAGGACTCGTCTTTTAGTGGCTGAATGTCATATTCTTCAGTAATGGGATGATTTGGTGCCCTCCTGTATGAAAATGATAGACTTTAAGAGGCTTCCTTTGAGCACACAATATACACCCACATATTGTGTATGAGCAGAGTGTGTCAAGTTATGTGTGTGTGGCAGGTCAGGCATGAGTCTTTCATTGCCATAAGACCAGTTTAAATTCCATCATCCTTTCGAAAGACCTAATGGGATCCAGAGTGCCATACATTTATATCAAAGAAGCTGGATTTAATGACATGTTTAATGACTCCTTAAGTTGGCAAATGGACTTTATTTGAAATCACCAGCGGCATCAGAAAGAAGCTCGTTCTCCACCAATTAAAGGCATCCTTTGGAAGACAGACTCACTGTTCAAAGTTAGAGAAAGAAGAGCTGTTGATGCTTGGTCCCTCTCCATTGTCAGTCTGCAAATACATTAAACTATCAAGGTGGGGGAATATTTTTAACAATGGCAGGCAGTGACTGAAGCCTTGTGGGACTTGACAGCTTATGAAAAAGCGAGTTAAATGCAGGATTAGACTCAAGATCTCCC